CCCTTTAGTTACATTGCGAGGCGTTAATTAATTGTTTTGTGGGGGAAAAAACAGGGAAAAAACGTGAAAAAAAGAGGGGACTCCAAAATTATGCAAATGTTGCAAAATTACTCGAAAAAACGCGGGAAGGTTATTTTGACGAGCGCCTGATTTCTCCACGATGCGGCACATTTGCAAATTAAAGGGTGGCTAATTTGAATTTTGCTTACAATTAGAACATAAATATCACATTCAACAGTAGTCGTAACTTATTGCAGATTTGTGCGTGTACATTACAACCATAATTTTTATTTCTGTAACAACGTTGATAGCGGCGTTCAACCTATACTATTTCATATTTCACATTCCAATATTGTTTCTGCAAACTGACTAAGGATTGAAAAAAATATTATCTTTTTTCTCTGTAGTGCGCAATGAGGATTATTTTTTAGAGCTGGCTATAAATGAACAATAACATTTCGTTCTCTATTACACACACACACACACACACACACACACACACACACACACACACACACACACACACACACACACACACACACACACACACACACACACACACAAACACACACAAACACACACAATACAACACACAAACATGATCCATCACTCTATAACATGTTCCTCATCAACTTTCTCTTTCTCTTCCTGTTTCTATTTCCCCCCCGCTCTCTCTGTCTCTCTCTCTCTCTCTCTCTCTCTCTCTCTCTCTCACTCACTCTCTCTCTCTCTCTCTCTCTCTCTCTCTCTCTCTCTCTCTCTCTCTTTCTTTCTTTCTCTCTCTCCTTTTCTCTCTCCCTCTCAATCTGTCTGTCTATCTTATACGGGGTGACCATTGGCGAACCGGATCGAGTCGGAAGGGTTTTCTGGCCAGATTGAGGGCGCAAAGCGACTGTCGTGGCACACGCGGATCGAGCCCGACTCGTCGCCTAACAAATGTCTTGGTGGATTGTATAATTCCTTCAGTTTTAAAGATTAATTGGTGCGGTATCATGAGATATTTATAACATAAAAAGTCAAAGTACTTCTTTGAGAATATTTGTTACGTACCCAGATTTATATCGTTTTACTACAAAATTTGGTGCTTGACTTTGACGAACATTAGCATTTGACTTTGAATGTATTATAGCCGTTCATTATAGAGGGCCAGATCTGAAACAGCCATGGTGCTATCATGATTACCTATTTATTTCTTCTCTCGGATGCTCTAAAAAAATTGCACATTATCCTGGTGTTTCACCATCACCCATCTGTTTGGGTTTTGCAATTAATAATGTTTTCTGGGTCTTCCCCCTGCCTCTTTTGCCTCCTATTTTTCCAATGGTAGCAAGATGTCCAAAGCCTTATGTCGAGGCAATTGTCATAGAAATCAAATTTGTTGCTACCTAATTGTTCTCGTAAGTGACCGGTTCACTTGGGCTTCTTTCATTACTTTTTCAATATACCATACAACAGTGTACTAGATCTACCTCTTAAAGCATCTAATCGTAAGGAACAGAAGGGTGGGGTGCATACAAAGTTCTTGAATAAGTGAATTTTCCGCAGATTTCTGAACATTCTCTTCGTTTTATTTTTTTTCCGAAAAGACCCCTTGCCTCATGATACGCACATTGAATACGCTTGTTGCTACATTCGAAAGCGATAGAATTATCTTTTTATATGTCAAAATTTATTGTTGAAAGTCGAGAGAATGAAATCTATTTGCATGACTTTCTTTTGGTTCTTACCAATTAGAAAATACCAAACATCTTTAAAAAAGAGCTTATTACAAAATCCAGAAATGCAAATGTTTCATTGGTTTCTATACATGGGAATGCCTGACTACCCCACATGTCGTTGCAAACCTGTGTGGTTTATTCGTCGTTACTGAACTGTAGAGAGCAAAGCCTCACTTTAGCATAACAAGTCACGACACTGGAAAGGGGACATGTAAACAGACTTGCTTTCTCAAATGTAGTGCCCGTATTTTGCGTTTTGTTCTCTACTTGCCGCACATGAATGTAAAACGTTCTAGATCTAGATATAATTAAAATCTCTTTTATGACACACGATGCGTCTCTGCATTCATAATTTTAATACCTGATGAAGAGCAGTTCCAAACCCAGCCTATGTACACTTGTTCGCCTCGTTCAAAAACGTTGAAAGAGAACATGATATCAAATAATGTACGACGTGATGGTACAGCAAATATATTACGAGTTTTGGGCCCCTCACCTGATACAAAAAGATTAGGAAACGGGACAAAAGAGATATTTGAGATATCAAAAGGGTGGAGAAAGAGCTGAGAGTTTAAATTATTTACTTAAACGTCTTATAAACCTTTTCATGAAAATCGTAAGCTTCAAGAAACAAAAATAGTTAACCCTATCCGTACGCCCTGGGGTCATTTTGTACCCTCGAGGTTGTATTCTTCATATTTTAGAATACTTCTAGTGGGAAGATCTCTTTAAAACTTTCAGTATTTCTCTAAAACTCATTTTGACAGACTGCTATGCAAAGC